ATGGCAAGTGTTCCGACACAGCGGTCATCGCCAACCTGGATAACTTCGAGTCCGAGGACGCCGCGGCCGATTTCATCCGGGAACAGCTCGCCAACATGAACGGCCCCATTATATGAAAGGGAATGTTCATGACATCTTATTTGTAGAATTTGGCGATATGCTAGAACGAGACACCGCCGTAGCTCTCTTCCGGAGCAAACGCATACAACGGGGTTCCAACACAATTGGGGCATCACAGGATAGAGAGCCGTGTGAACGAGCAGCCCGTAATTTTGCATTTGGCGTCAAGTATCTGCTCAAACACGATATGGGCAACGAGTACAACATCAGAGTTAACGACTGTGCTCCGTATCAAGTCCACGTTGGCAGCCAGCTGGCACTTACAGTACGCGATGGCACTACACCGCGAGTGGGAGGAAGCATGGCAGCACTGGGAAGAGCTTCAACCACATGAGAAGCTGATCGCCTCAACCGGAAAAAGCGACTCCATTATATGTCGGTCCCGCCTCGGAAAGCACGCCAAAAGGCAAATCCAGAGGAAATAACAAGTAGGACACGCGGCGGGCACTGGATACATAATCTTGCGTTATAGTACCGCACACCAGTGCCAGAGCCGACCAACCACAAGCTACAGTGGAAACGAATGGAAACTACTTTGGATTTTGCGACGTAGAGATTACGGGCAAAGCCACCGACATGTCCACCGCCACGCATTGTATGCAGCCAGTTGCGAGGTTAGACGCCAGGGCGAAGCTACCGTTACCTCCACCCCTACAGCCACAGATACATATATATTTATACATATACATATACATATACATATATATGTGGTCTTCCTTACCCTTCTCCGACTCCTGCTCCCACCTCGTTTTTCCCTCAAGGATCCAGCACACATTCGACATCACCATTTTCGCCTTTATTTTCGCATCCGACTGCCGAAGTGGGCAAAGCGACCACCGCCGGGATACAGGTACCGACCTCAGTCTCTACATTCACGGCTGGCCCGAATGCCGCTGACAGTTTTGTATCTACTGTTTGCGATTCAGGCTAAACACCCTTACGTTTCACCGCCTGCGGATACAGCGACTATCCCGGCGACGCGGACCCCGTCTTCCAGACAAGGAACTACCCTTACGACTCCAGCTCCCCACTCCGACCTCCAACCTCGCGGCCCAGAGCCTCTACATATACAAGGACATGCGGACCCACGTCTTCGGCATTCTCTTCCGGTTTCTCCGACTACAGCTTCTCTAACTCCAGTTTCTCCGACTCCAGCTTCAAGACAGATGATTGTTTCTCCAACTACTACTCCCAATTCCGACCTCCCACCCTCGACTCTCACCACATACCCTGGGTCTGCAAATCGCATTGGCACAGCTCAATCAGCAGGGGCCGGAAGGGGCACATATTTGAATGTTCCTGGAGATGTCCATTTAGGCATACGACGCCGCTTACCTCATTCCAAGGATATTTGTCGCCCGAGGACGTTTCCAGACTACGACAACAAGAAGATTCTCTCCATCCCGGCGCTCTGCTCTCAACCTTGTCTCTGACTCCAGCTCCCACCCTCGATTCCAACCTCCACCAGCTCAGCACTCTGACCTCCAGCCACTAGCATCCGACCTCCCACCACTTCCACCCACGGACCTCCAACATCCACCAACTCAGAATTCCGACCATCAACCTCCAACGTTTGACCTGTTACTCACACCTCCAACTCTCGACCTCGAACCGCCGTCAGTCCAGCATTCTGGGCTCCAACCTCCAGCACCCGACTTCCCACTTCCACCTCGACATATCGGCCCTCCACGCCCACCAACTCAATACTCCGCCCTCCAGCCTCCAGCATTCGACTTCCCACCACTACCCCAACCCATCGACCTTCAAGCATACCTCCAACCTACAACATCCGACGTCCAACTTCCACCTCCACCCACCGACCTCCAGCCACCATCAGCTCAACAATCCGACCTCCACCCTCTAACAACCGATTTCTCATGTCCACCCCCACCTATCGCCCTCCAGCGTCCGCGAACTCAACACTTCGAACTCCAGCCTCCGGAACTTCACTCCCCACCACCTTCCCAACCAATCGACCTTCACGATTCACCAACTCAACCTACCGACCTCCAACCTACAACATCCAACATCGTACTTCCACCTCCACCCATCGACCTCCAGTCAACACCAGCCCAGCATTCCAACCTCCAGCGTGCAACATCCGACTCTTCATATCCAGTTCCACCTGTCGACATCCAGCCTCCACCAAGCCAATACTCCAACCTCCAGCCACCAACGGCCGACTGCGACCACAACCCATCATTAACAGTGATTTTTAACAACCCTGGAGGTGTGTTGTTTGTTTCAGAGGACACCAGATCGGGACAGAATTGTGTCAGGAGACTGGGGCCAAACCGGGCAGGAGAGGTGTTGTTTGTTTAAGAGGACAGCAGATCGGGGCAGAGTTGTGTCAGGGGACCGGGGCCGGGCCGGGCAGGGGCGGAAAAGAGGACAGCAGATCGAGACAGAATTGTGTCAGGGGACCGGGGCCACACCGGGCAGGGGAGGTGTTGATTGATTCAAAGGACACAAGATCGGGACAGAATTGTATCAGGGGACCGGGGCCGGGCCGGGCAGGGGCGGGTTGTTGTTTTTCTAAGAG